TTTCTGCGCCACCGATCATGGGTGAAAACTTTGTTATTGTTTTATTTATTTATAATTTATGTGTACAGAAGTCATCAGCTCTACTGTTATCAACTACTACTAATTGAAATAACAACCGCGATGAATTCTGTAGTTATTAGGTGTCCCATATCAATTATTTTCAATTGCTAAACAAAGAAAATAATTGGGGTTTTTCCTTTTTCCTTTTTCTTTTGTTTTTAAATGCAATTACTGAAATAGAAAAGCCAAGGATGAAGGGAACTATCCAAGTTTTGAAGGAAGCGCGGGGTATTCGTCCCAAATCCAACTGTTTCTAAGAATCCAGTAACCGTACACGTGCCCAACTACATCACATCAACCCATTGGACATAACATCCTTGTCGATATAGCGACGCGTCACATCCATAAAACGCTTTTGTGCATCCGAAGGAAAATTCCACTGCATTCCCTATTTGGCCCTCCCACACTATCCCCGTTTTACTTTACCACCCCCTCAAACCCCATCAACCATCAAAAACATCAGTATTGATTTGTGGGCCCCCTTGGCCAAAAAATTGTGGACCCCTCTTTTATTCATTACTTTGCAGTTTTTAACAGAGATGACATCGGATCGGGTTTGGGGTGGATTTTGTTCGTCTCAAACCCGATTCGATTTCATATTTTATAAATTCGAACTTGATTCGAATTTTTTTAATATTCGAATCCGATTCGATTTGATATTATATAAATCGTATTCGATTCGATTCGAAATTAATAAAAATATTATTTTTTAAATATAAAATATTATTTTTTAAATATAAATATTTAAAAATATTATTATATAAATATAAATAATTAATTAATTAATTAAAAAATAATTTTTTAATAATATCGGGTCGGGTAAAGTTGGGTTTTAGGCATACCCGACCCCTACCCTGATCCGAAATCGAAATTCAAAAAAAAAAAACCTTATCCTATAAGATCGGGTCGAACCGAAACCCATCGGGGACGGGCTTGATTGCCGTCCCTAATTTTTAACCTCCCACTTTCTTCATTAGTTATTGCTGTTATATTAAAATATAGCTAGCTTGTTACCACATATTATTTTTATTTTATTTATATTTAAATAAAAATATAAATTAATATTATTTAATTATTTATATAATTAAAAATATGTAAAATATAAATAATATAATTAAATTATTAAATTATAATAAAAATAAAATTTTGAATTAAAATTTTGATAAATTTTAAAATATATGATAAATAATATTAAAAAAAATCTAAAAAATATTATAAATAATATTATTCTAAAATATTATTAAGCATACGAACAGAGTATTAAAATAGAAACTAAAAGTTTATCGCTTCAAATTAATTTTCTTCAATTTACATCATTTTTTGCTTCTCTTATCATTTTTGTATATTTGTAAATTTATGTAATTTTAATATAAATTTTATTTATTTAAGAATAATAATGATTTTAAATATTTAAATAATATACATGATAGCTTATTCACATACATTTTTTTTTTAATTTTAGTAATTTCGTGATCTTTATCATCTGTATAACTTTTCAAATATTTATGCTTTTCAATTGTTTCGAGGTTGACATTTGATGTAAAATTATGTTCCTATAACAATTGAAATGAAATAATTTTAAAATTTGAGTAAATAATAATATTAAATTGTAAACAATTATTAAAAAATTTATTAAACAAAAATTTAATAAAATGTATTAAACTACTTATTTTTTTGTATATTTTAAAGTAAATATCAAGAATAAATACAGACTATCCTCTATATAAAGTATTTCATGAACATGTGTACTAATCCATATTTAATTTTTATGAAAAAAAATTATAATTATTGAATTTTACTTCAAAAATATATGAATAATCTATTAACTCTTCTAATAATTTGTTCAGTTTGACATCTCTATCCTTGCGTGAGTGAGCTTTATATAAGTTTATTGGTTGTCATGGGTCTTTTTGAGAATCCAATGGCTAATAACAGCCTGGTTAACCAACTTGAGAGTCCGGTAAATTACATATATTCTGTTGTTATAAATTGACTTATATGCTCTTCATTTATCATCATTTATGGGTAAAGAATGAATCAAATAGACTTTACTAAATGATAACGTGATTTTAACAGAAACACAGGGAGTTAGCAAGGGAAGCTGTGAGCAAAAGTCATGTCCTATCGAAGAATGGTGAACCTGTTGATAAGCCACTATTACCCCTTCCCAATAAAGCAACTAAGATATTATTTGCTGGAAGTCATACTGGTAACTTGGGCTATCAATGTGGAGGTTGGACCATTACATGGCAAGGTCTTAGTGGCAATGATTTCACAAGTGGTACTTTTTAAATTTACACTTAAAACAACTAAAAACGTACATATAGGTTTTGTTGGCCCTAAAGTTTTGATGAATAAAATGACCCAGAAAAGCATTTAAGTTTTATTATTACCTTCGTTAAATTTGGTGACATGCTTTGAATTTGATAGAACAGGATACAAGAGTCATTCGATTAATTATAAAAATAACAGGCACTGAATATTTTACTATCTAAAATCAATCAAAGTGGTAACTGTCATTTAAAATATTGTGAGAATTTGCTATTGTTATTAACATATCAAGGGGTTAGCTAAAATTCAAACAGATTCAGTTTAGCTGAGTTGAGGGCTACCAAGGCGAGCCATTTAATCTAGTTATTTCTTGATCTTTTGAAAACTACCAGGAGCTCCAGAAGCCAAGTTTTACCCAGAAACCTCAACCCCGTGCTTTCTGCATGTGGTTTTGTTTTGTGCAAGTAATAATTCAGGGCTAGAGAGAGATTCATGTGACTGGTGCTCATCTGACAAGTCCATCCCAGGCAAGATGATTTTGCATGAATTCTTTGCGAACAACTCTGCAACTACTTCATAGCCATCTCTTGAGGCAGTGTTATAGAAGCCAGCTATCAGTTCAAAAGGGTGTGCTCGGGTTTTATACCATGAGTACATCAGTGAGACTTTCCCATACACATTCACTACAATATCACTGAAAATTGAAGAGGCAAGAGAGATGAGACAATCTTTACGAGATATAAGCTAGCTTGAGTATCAGGAAATAAAGAAGTCACCATAAAGACTTTCCTATGATCCATCGTGATCCTTGAAGAAGCTATATGAGTTAGGTGACTAATCATAAGTGGGAGCATCATGTGGACCACCTAGTCCCCATAATGGATTTTCATTTGCTTCAGCATGTTGCTTAAGAAAGTTAAGCATGTTGATGTCATAACATTGGAACTCCCCAACTCCAGCAACTATGCCACTTTTGGCAGGTTCGTGACAAGAGGGATAATGGAGCTCGCTATATGGTCCCAGACTCATTGAGATTCCCTGAAAAATTATAATATAGAAATTGTAAAATTAGTTTTAAATTTAGATGAAGTTATATAGGGATAAGAATTCTATTAAAATTTAAATTGATTTTTTATTTAAAATTTTAGATAATTCAATAATTTTTTAAATATATATTTTTGATAAATAATTTAAAATTAATAAATATCCTATATGTCATTTTAAAAATTTTCTTATGTGTAAAAAAATGAAACTATTCACATAAGTATCAATGTCAACAAATTCTATCAGGTAATTAGATATGTTGTAATATAATATATAAAATATATTTAAAAGTAATATTTTTAAATTAATTTTAACATTAAATAATATCGATCATTTTTGTTAATTTTAGTTAATTTTGACGCATTAATTTGTTTTGATTGATACAAGAATATAAAACAGATTTTATTATTTTTAATTTATTTTATTAATTTATTATTATTTTTAATTTAATAAAAATAAAATTGATTGATAAAATAATCATTAAAACCTAATTTTTTTATATTTTTTTTTTAAAAATTAAAATTCATAAGTATATTATTTAAAAAAAAATCATACTTTTTCTCTAAAATTTAATAATTATAAAGTTAAAGTTTTTTTTTTCATCTCTTTGTTTTATCTTAATATTTATATAAAAAAATACTCATTTAAATATTATATGATTAGATTAAGTATTTAAAAATATTATAATAAATTGATGATATTATTTTTTATATTTTAAAATTTATTTGTTTGTTTTGTAAAAATATTATATATTTATTTTGTAAATTATTAATATATTATTATATACAAATTCATTCATATTTATAAATATGTTTGTCTTAAATTTAAAAATTTGAAATAATATATCAAAATAATTGATATAGATATATATTATTTAAAAAATAATTAAAATATATTGAGTATGGTATTAATAACTTTACTAATGATCGTGATTTTTTTTAAAAGGTAAAAAAATTTTAGTTTTATTCCATCTATTTTCTTCTTAAGTGGATTCATGTAATTTTATTTATGTTAAATTAAATGTATTTACAAGAAATAACTTTTTTATACGAATTCAAATAACAAATATAAAACCCGCTTTCATCGTGTCCATTGAAAATATCATTCGTAGGCCGTTTGACTCTAGTTAACTACAGCCTGTGAGGTGCAACGAGGGTATTTTAATCTAACTACGCAATTTATTATTCACCCTGTCAAATTTTTACTTCCCCAAGTCAATAAGAGCATTTAAACTCGGGATTTGACGAGCGGTGAAATGCTGAATTACTGTTTGTCGTGTATTCAGTTCTCAGTATCCTCCATAGAAATGAGCGTGTTCTCGTCAGACTCTCGAAAGGATAGTTTACCGAACCAGCGGAGCTCCCTAGGCGACGATCATGAAGCCGTTTCAGAGACCTCCGTATCACGAGGCGGGGTAAAGTTAACCAGCAGGGCCTCAGGGCATAATACAAAAGGGGTAATTACGACATTTCAAACTGGAACCTTATCGTCACGCTCCTTTTCGTGGCATCGTGTCAACACGACTAAGGAACGAACCGGGTTCATCCGTACCCCCAAACAAAGGATTAGACCTTCCGCCAAGTTGGATTTCAACGTGGCCATCGATCCTAGTCAGCAATCGCTACCCTTACCCTTTATAATGCCCCGGACCACTTCCCCTGCTAAATCGTCATCCAAAACCCAAGGAAAACGCAACACTCTCGTCTCATTTTCACTTTCACGCTTTCTCTCCCATTCTTACTTCATCGGTTTTTCCTTTTTTTCGTTCTCGTTGCCGGCTATTTTCGCCGGAAAACTGAAGCATTTCGCCGGGGAAAAAGATGGAGTCACCGGCTACCGATGATCTTCGCGTGAATTTCCCAGGCAAAATCGTTACGTCCTCGTGCCGTCGCGTATTTCGGGAACTTGAACCGTAACTGAAAAAAAACCCTTAAGCAAAAGCGACTTTACTTGGCAGAGTTTTGAAGTTATTCCATGCTTTATCTGGGAAATCAGAGGCAAATAAGTATATATAACAATCAAGCTTAAGAGTCTTGAGTCTTGGTAAACCGCATTGATTTTTTGCCCTTCCAAAAATTATATTAGGAATTTCTGTGTCGATTGCGTTTGCGGATCTCATCACAAAGCAATATGTTTTCCAGTTATCAAAAAGAATAATCAACTAGAGTTTGAAGAGCAGCCGTGGTAACGGTGGAAGCGCTTTTCTTTTTTTTTTAATCAAAGCTGAGAAACATGCCTTTCCCAATGAAGATCCGACCGATCGATTTCAACACGCTAGAAGAGGTGTCGCCGCCTCGGTTGGAGACAGTAAAGCCGGTTGTGAAATCGCGTTTCAAGCGGCTTTTGGAGAGGCAGTTCCCTAGCGTTTTGAGGAATTCCGAGGCGGAGAAGGTCGGCGCTGCCGCCCCCGATGATCTGCCTTTTAACAAAGAATGCACCGCTGAGTTCGAGCCGAGCTCTGTTTGCTTGGCGAAGATGGTGCAGAACTTCATCGAAGATAACAACGAGAAACAACAATTTGGTGCGGTTAGGTGTAGCCGGAACCGCTGTAACTGCTTCAGTCGCAACTGCAGCGACAGCTCCGAAGACGAAATGGATGATTTCGATTTTGGTGTCTCTAATCTCACTTCGTCCAGTGAAGCGTCTGAAATTCTAATGGTATAACAATTACTTCCACTTTTTTTTTGTTCTAAAGTACTTTTTGCTGTAAGATATAGTTTTTCTCTTTTAATTTGTTTTGCCCTTTTTATGGAGCAGAGTTTGGTTTCTTGTCCGAGTATAAGTGAAAGGAATTTACTGGCGGATACAGCGCGGATTGTGGAGAAGAACAATATCTGTAAGCGTAAAGATGATTTTTGCAGGAAGATTGTTACTGATGGATTACTGGCCCTTGGATACGATGCTTCTATCTGCAAATCTCGCTGGAAAAAATCCCCCTCTTATCCCGCCGGTACTTTCTCTCTCCAATCTTTTTACTAAAAGAATCTCTACATTTCAATTTGCTTCCTCTCAAGAACAAAGAAGATTATCTATGGCTTCAAATTAGTTACACAGATATTTATGCTATCAATTACTCTGTTATGGCTTGAATTTTAATAATTATGGACATAATAATTGTTTATTTTTAACAAGCAGGGGAATATGAATACATAGATGTGATAATTGACGGGGAAAGATTGCTGATCGACATCGATTTCAGATCAGAATTCGAAATCGCCCGATCAACAAAGACATATAAATCAATCCTCCAAACGCTACCCTTCATCTTCGTAGGCAAACCTGATCGTCTCCAGAAGATAATTGCTATTATTTCCGAGGCGGTAGAACAAAGCCTGAAGAAGAAAGGAATGCATATTCCTCCGTGGCGAAAAGCTGAGTATGTCAAGGCCAAATGGCTCTCTCCTCATAACCGAGCCACGCCTTCACCTTCACCCACTCATACACCCACATTCACAATTGGACCACTCAAAGAATTTGAAATCGAAACCATAGCTAAAGAAAAAACTGGCCAACCTTTGTTTGAATTGGACCCTGATGAGAAAAACTCAGTTGAAGATGCTGAGTTGGGGGAGTCCATATTTGCTTTGTCTGAGAGCTTTGAAGAAGAAGGGAAGGAAAAGATGGAGAAAGAAGTGTGGAAGCCACCTGAGATAAAGCCTAAGAGCTCACAAATTGGGATTAAGATCGTGACCGGTTTGGCCTCTGTAATTGAAGATGAGCCAAGAAAATTTTGACTTCGATTTTTTTTTTCTCTACTCTTTTGGGTTATTAGAGAAACAAATACTATGGTACATGGTTTAACTGTTTAAATCCCCTTCTGTTTTTTATGTAAGGGTTGATCTGATTTTACTACTAATATGAAATAAGATTGTTATAGAAATGGTTATGAAGAGAAGTTAGTAAATTTGTTCTTAAGCCGGTGCCTCTTATTTTTTCTTACTTAAACCTGCAAGGAAGTCCTGAAACTGATTCGGTGATTCCAATTATCTCTCTCTTTTTCTTATCTCTTTTTATTCTTGTTGGGTGTTTTTTATTTTGATCTTCTGCAGCGAGGGATATTTGAATTGTGGAATCAAAACATACAGGGAAAAGGTAATTCCCCATCTCTTGTGCTTTGCCCTTTTCTCTTTTTTTTTTTTTTCAGCTAATTTATCAGTTTCTGATCTTTAACAATGTTGTTTTCTTAAAGGAGTAGAACTGAATTTTATGTTGATGGAAGCGGGCTCGTGCAGTCTCGAGCGCTGTGAGGTTAGGCCTAAGCTATTTTTTAATTGCTCAACTGATACTCTGCTTTATTCATCTTTGCTATTATTCTATCCAGTATTTTATTGATGGTATTAAATGATTTCACATTTATTCACCGGTTTTGGTGTGGCCGGAATACCTTTTTTTAACTGGTTTTCTGATTATGACCCACGGTTTTGGTTGATGGATTAATTCCATTCCCTAACTTCGATTGCTTAGTGGGGAGATGGACCAGAACCAGAGGTCAATTATGGCTACGTCAGAATTAGATAAGCCTTTGAAATTTGAGAACTACTTTGTATGGTAATTCAAGCATAAATGGAAAAGTGATAATTTTGATAGTAATATTCTTTTTTTAGAACAAAAGATATTCTAATTGAAAATTTTAGCTCATTTCTTTCGGTCCAAATCTAATGTTTGCTTAATATTGGCCTGTGAATGACGTTTTTTTGTCTATGTAGTAGTTGGCATTTCTATATATTCTGATTCTGATATATTGCCAGATGAATCTGGCGTTGTGTCGGTTTCTTACTCTCTTTTTTTTTTTCTTATCTGTCTCCCAAAATGAAGGTAATGGAAGTTACTAGATGTGAAAACTGAAAACAACATCATCTTCTGTTGAATTACAAGGGGAATATATCCATGACTGGGTTTGGAGCATTCTGTTAGCCTTGAGGCCCGAGCCATTGTGGCTTTGGTGGGCTGCTGGTCCCCTCCCCGGCATTTGAGAGTAGGAGTTTAGACCTGCATTTGTCCAGAGCTGGGAGGTGGTCCAGCGAGAGAAGAAAAATTAAGAATTTATGAAACTGCTTATGGTACAAGCTTGGCCTCTTTTCCAACTTTGTGGAAAGTTGAATCTTTGGATAATTCCGAATTTAAGGACATAATTTCACAGTTGGGGGGGGGGGGGTGGGGGTGTTGAAAATGTCTTTTACTTGCAGTACGGGCAAAATTAAAAAAAAAAAAAAAAGTTGGTAGGAATGCAGCGACATGCATGAGCTTCCTCCCTGCACAAACACAGGACTTAAATTTCAATTGATAACAAGATTAATAGCTTTGAAAACACCTTTTTGTTATTGGATCAAGGCTCAAGCCTGGAATCTCTTACTGGAAATCTACACTTGTCAGCTCATTCACCAAAACTCGAAGGCCTGTTCATAAATCCACTGGAATCTCTTACTGGAGATCTACATTTGTCAGTTGTTTTTAGTGTTCATACTCATGCTAACATGCACCAAAGCTTGTCGTTTCTATGCCTCGTACTGACGCCGGGGGTCCACATGGTACTAGGAAATTGCAGCAGAGAAAAAGCCATTTAATAATTCAACAAAAGCCGTTTGATTATTTATTTATTGTGTTTAAAAACTCCAGAAACAATCATTGCGTTTGTGAAATTTAGTACTATTATTTCTCCAGATTAAACCTGATAGCTCCTTTTTTCCGCTTCTCTGTGTGGAAAGATTCTTTGAGGTCAAATCCTGCTGTTACGTCCAAAGTTTACATTAGTTTTAGTACTACAGTAGTAGTATTTTATTTATTTATTTATTTATTTATGTGCTTAATTATTTGTGAAAGCAACCTCGCACCAACTACTTTTAAGCTCTCTGTCTCTACTTCTATTTTTATTGCATCAGTTATAGCCTGTCCACGGATGCACACTGGGTTTCGTTGCGTCTGACTTTTTCTTGAGATAAAAAAAAATTGGGTTATTACTTTTTTGTAAAAAGACAAATCTGATCATTGCTTTGGGATCAATCTTTTATCGATTTTTTACTGAAATTATATTAAATAATATTTAATAATCTTTCCTTACAAAGAGTTTTTTCAAAAAAATGATGAACACAACAATTTTATTTATTATAATAATCCAAAAAAAATTAAAACAAATGCCTTAACAAATGGAGTAAACGTGCTTCTTGAAGTTGACAAAAGCAACTGTTTGTTTAGAAACTAAAACATAACGTTTTTTTATATGGAGTCTGTTTTATCACATGCTTCATAAACAAAGCCCACCCCCCCCCCCCCCAAAAAAAAAAAAAACGGAATATTAAAAGAAAAAGTGTATATACAACAAACCTTTTTTAAAGTGGTCGGCTTTTAAATTAGGTGTCATTTTTTTAATCAAGAAAATGTCACTCTGGCATTTTCAGAAGTCAATAATTTTTGTGCTCCTTTGATTCCTTTCGCCATTAGTTGCCCCGGTAAAGTCTAAAAACGTACTTCCCAAAAATATTCACAGTAGCATTAAGCCTAGAATATGATACTCTAATTTAGAATAAATATTTTGGTTAAAGGTTAAAAATATTGTTGATTTAAAATTTTAAAATTTATTATAATTAATTAATTTTTTATATTTAATAAATTCTTAAATAAATAAAATTTAATCACATGACAATATTTAATCAATTAATCTTTTAACTAAAATCAATTGAATTCTTAAAGGATTTCAGAAAGAGATGATATAAAAAATAGAGAAAATTTTTATTTTAATTTAATTTATATATATTAATTAGGTCACATGAAAATTTATTTATTTATTTATTAATGTCATATAAAATTTTATTTTAATAATAAAAAATTTAACGATATTAGTTTTTTTTATCTAAATAAAAACTTAATTGAATGCAAGTAATGTTAGAAAGATTCATTGATTACAATAAAAATAAAAATTAAATAATTTTAAATTATAATTTAGAGGTTTTTATTATCTTTAATTAAAAATTTTAAAGTATTTTTGTTAATGTAATTATTACATTACCAGCTTGTATGAAATGAGAGTATTTAATTTTAATACTTACACTGATCTTCTTTTATATATGAGTTAAAATATGATACATTTATAACATATCATTTTTATACACTGTTAATTAATGATAGAATAACATATTATTTAATGAATAAAAATAAAATTTTTAGACTCTTAAAAATAAATTTATTTAAAATTAATTAATTATAAAAAATTTGCTCTCCCCTAATTTTAGGATTAATTAATATTAATGTCACAAATGGGCCACGGACTATTTGATTGTTGCAGATTCCAGGCTTATCCATGAAGCCCTATTCTAAAGGGCTTGCTGTATATAGCATCTTAACCTATTTATATTTTGGTGCGAAGATCATTGAAGAGCGGGTTAAGAAAATAAAAAACATATTTAAAGATGTAAAGCTAATAACATCACAACTGTTACTGGATTTCTTGCCTATTCTTACTCCATTGTTTCGCTGGCAAATGAAAGAAATTAAAACACTGAGGAATCAATATAGTCTTTTGCCCCATTTGCAATGTTAATATTAATTAATTTTAAAATTAGAAGAGAGTGAAATTTTAACAATTAATTAATTTTAAATAAATTTATTAATATTTATTTTAAAAATTTAAATTTTTATTTTTATTCATTAAATAAAATATAATTTTAATATTGATTGACAGTATATAAAAATAATATATTATCAATGTATTAATTATTAACTTTATCCGGTAACTACAATTAGCAAAATAAAAATAACAAAGGAGACCAGACCCTTAAAACTCTGAACCAGAGGGACCAGATCAAGCTGTAGTAACGGCCAACGTTAGTTATTTGGTACTAAAAGAGTAGAGAGAAGGAAGGAATAAATAAGAAATAGGAGTCTTCTTCGTGAGGGAGAGTTCGAAGTTTCAATGCCACTTTCTTCTTTCCGTTCAGTATGACTGTAACAACAAAACAAAAAAACAGTGATTCTGTCGGTCGAAAGGACACGACAGTTTCATTCCGTGTCTGATGATCCAAACACATGACTCCCTTCTCCAATCAATGCCTCTTTCCTGTCATATTTTTGGACCACCCATTCCATTAAAGATTTTATGATTCACCACGGTGAATCATAATTTTTGGACCACACATAAAACGTTTCAGTGAGTACATTTTTCGTATAATTCACAATAAGTTATTATTTTTTTTGTACGAAAAAAATTAAAATAAATAAATTTTTTAATTTTTTAAATTAAAATAAGATGTATGATATTTTATAATTTAAAATAAATAATTATAAATCATGTATTCGAAATGATTTTAATAAGTGACAATCGATAAAATTCGAATAAAAAATTTATTTATCAAAAATTATAAATTTAATTAATTGAATCAATTATTTATTACTATTAGTTATATGCTTACGAAAATATTTTTTTTTATTTGAATTACGCAACTCAAAGCAGTAAAAAAGATATTTTCCCCAACCCAAAACTCAAAGAAGAGCCTTTTTCGATTTATCAGATTCGACCTCACTTTCCATGAACCAAAATTTTAATTTAATGCAACAGACCGTTAGGTGAATAATTATATAATTTGAGCATGTGTATGCATTTCCACTTTATATTAGATTAATGCAACGTTAAACTGAAATTTAGGAAAATCTCACAATTATAAACTGAAAAAACTGTAAATTTTTATTATCAGTCCTTTTCGATTCCAAAAACTGGATTTTAATCAATTTCCAAACCTTGGTTTTGCCTTAAGTTGGCAAAGCTAACCAGGGATAGAAAGGATCACCTTCAGCAAAGAATGTGGCTTGATAAGGGGTGGGGAAACCCTGTTTAACACGCCAAAGGTCCAGAGAGAGACAGAGAGAGAGAAAGATTCCTCAACAAAAAAGAACGAAAACGAAAGAGTAACAATCAAAAAAAGGAAGGGAATTAGGCAAATGAGAGAGAGAAGTTTCAAGTTTGTTTTGCTTTGCTAGGAATAAAAAAATAAAAAAAAAAAGGTTGGTTAAGAATAGTTTTAGAAGAACCGAACCTTGACCTTGGACAAGTAACATTTTAGGCTTTTACCCATTTTTTGTTTTGCCATGGATTGGGCTTTGGGGTTGAATTTCAGAAGTATATTAGTCCAACCTTACTCTCCAAGAAAGCTATATTAAACTGTATGTCCTCATGCAAATCAGCTTGGCAACTAGGAAACTATCTTCATCATTAAGAGGAGTATGTCAGAAGCTTAAGTAAACATGTAAGTGTAGACTAATCCTACGTTCTCATCCGGGCAGTTTAAAGGAAATACTGTATATATTAAGAAAAATGCTGCTTGCTTATTTTATTGTATGCAGTTGACATTTTTTTAGCATTAACTGAATGTAAAGACATCCATTGCCATCCCCTGGAACTGAAGCTGAATTTCTAGGCACCAAGTTTAGGCCTTTAGGAGATCTCTTGATTTTGATTTCTTCCCTTCATAATATTATTATATTCACAACCTCCGTTGCTCACGTTCAAAGTCAAAGCATATATAATATATTGATATATATGGAGGTGCCCTGCTGGAACTCTGAAAGAAGTTTGATGGAAATTTCCTTGATTATTATCCCTTTTACTAGCACATGTTATATGTTGTTTTCAGTTTCACCGCCCATAACCACGACAAAACCTCCTTCCCGTCCATACTTTACCATAAAAGTCGTCAAGATTCTAGTATGCGTTAACTATCTTATAAAGAAAAGATAAAAAATGGTTGTTGAGTCAATATTGTTGACCAGTATACCAAGCGGAAAGGCCATAGGAAACCTCTAAAAGGTCACAAGAAAAGTACAGCCAACGAATTTAACGACAACTGCAAATTTTTTCTTGGTTGACTTGCTGTCTTTCAGGTCTTTTTAAATTAGATTGATTTGTGTATATCTAAGACTGCAGAATTCCCGTTTGCTAAGCACTCCATCTCAAGCTCTTTCTATGGCACCACCATCCCCGAAAGAATATATAGAAACAGCTCTTTTTGCCAGCAGCCCTTACGCTCTATCCTACTCGGACTCTAAACAGAAATCGCTTATACTAAGACACCTCCTTTCATTTCTTCAAGAAAACCCTACTTTCAGGCCCTCAACTGGTAGATTCATGCACAATGATGGAACCGAAGTGAACCTTCTATATGCTAGTGGCTGCCTCCATGTCTCCAACTCCACACCTCCCATTCCCCTCATCATTTGGCTCCATGAAAACTATCCTCGGAAGGCACCTTTAGTCTTTGTTTCACTTGATCCCATGACCCCAATTCATCGCCATCATCCTTTTGTTGACAATACTTCTGGTGCCACATCCCCACCTTATATCCTAACCTGGAAATATCCTCCATGCAACCTTACTGATCTCTTGCGCAATCTTGCCCATCTTTTTAGCCATGATCATCCTTTCTCGTATACACCGACGACTAGTTTCACTCACCCTTCTCTTGTTTCTCCGAAGGAAGCTCTTGATAGACTTGTAGGTATGCTTTACTATGACATGGTTGCTTTGCAGGCCAGTACCTTTGGAGAAATAGAGGAGCTATCCTTATTGCAAGAAGAACTGAAGAGGCGTGATCATTTTACCACAAGCTTGATTTCTGAGATGGAGCAGGAAAGGAAGAAGCTGAAAGAGAGAGCAAACAATTGGTTAGAAGAAACAGATAGGATGGAAAACTGGCTAAGAGTAAATGATCGAAGACCAATATTGGCCTTGGATGCAGGAGATGTTGAAATTGAGGATGCTTTCGAAATTGATGACAAGTCAAGAGTGAGACTTGATAGCTCGGCTGCAGATATGGCTATAGAGGATGTACTACATAAATTGGACATGGCACTTGAACAAGACGCTGTGAGTATTGATTCATATATTAAGCAAGTGAGGAGCTTGGCCAGAGAGCAGTTCTTTCTTCTATATTCAGAAATGAAATTAATTAATGGCCTGGACATACCCCATTACCCAAATCAATCGACTTGAATACTTGAAAATTTTTTTCTAGGCATGTTCAGTCCTTAATTGTTCAATTTTTTGTTATCTTTTCCCTAAGGATAAGACACAAATTATACATGCATATATATGCTATTGCTTTCATAGTATTGTTAACGAAAAGTTGTTTGTTGATTTCCAGAAATGATCTGTTCCTATTTGTGTTGATATTCCAATCAAAATTTGGGTAAGATCATATTTAGATATAGCAAACTCCTTTGTGAAAGGAGGAATCAGCTTACAACAAAGTGTGAAAGATTGCATCTAAAATCAATTTAGGGGACATCCTTGGAAAGGGGAATAATTAAAGATGCATTACTACGTTCCAAACACTGACATCACACAGCTCAAGTAATAAACAAAAGATTGTGAGAAAGGGTCTAAGACATCACTTTTCACCGCTCTACAGAATAGGGATAATCGATTTTGCTAATATTTTTATTCAGTTTTATAATTTAATTTGTTTATTAACGAGTGAGAGTGATGTATGATGGCTAAGCTCCAGGATCTTGCCATGGAAGTGAACTAAGTCTCATTGGAAAATTAGCTTATCTTCATACTTAATAAATTAAGCATCAGAATCAGATGATTACATAAAAGATAGGGGGAATAGTCAATGAAAAATTATATATACTCCTCTTTTTAAAACAAAGATGATATGACATCTTCATAGTTGCACCATATATACTGGGACAACCCAGCAAAGAATATATTCATTTGATTTGGTACTTTGTTGTTGTTTTTCTATTTTTTTTTTTGTTCAAATTTGTTTTCCGTAGTTCATATGTATTACGATTGTTTTGACATAGACTTGTATTAAGAAATACTACTACTTATTTTGTTAGATACTGTTAAAAATCAAGTTAAGGAAAAATGAGGAGTTCCATGAATCATAATTCATAGATAATCATTGGGCAAGAGAGGGTGATCGGCTGGAACTAAGCATGAACCTGAACTGATCACTCGTTATTCCGAATTGGGTTCTGCTTTGGGCTAAAGATTTTCAGTGGGTTTCTCAGTCCAGTTTGAACTCTTTCCTTCTTTTGTTTCTAAATGGACCTTTATGTTTTTTTTTTTCTTACAAATCATAACTTGGAGTTTCAATGCTTGGTTATGGTTTCCCTGCTTAGCTGTTGTTTTGGACCCACATAATATTGTATTATGAAACATGAGGTTATCTATCACCACCATTCTACTGTAATGCATCTTTATTAAATTGTTAATGTGACAGCAACTTATGCGATATATACATGATTATAGTCATGAGTTATATAAAGAAATATTCAGACGTTTGTTTCACGAGTAGACTTATTACGATGTATGGGATAAATATATATTTTTGATAATAATAATAATAATAATAATAATAATAATAATGTCACCATGAGTTGAATTGTTCTCAATTGGCTATGCAAGTTATTGTCTTATTAAAAGGTGTAAATAACGAAATTTATTTGTTAGGATTTTTTTTAACCCAAGTAGATAAAGTAAATTATAAATCAAGCAAATAATAAGATAGGAATAAAAAAAAAAAAAAAAAAAAACAACTGAGAGTTGAATAAGGTCGGAGGGTAAATTAGAGCATGTACTTCGGAGATCTGTCTGGGTTACTTGTGGCTTAGGTCAAAGGACCAACGACTTGTACTTTTGTTAACCGACCAATAAAAACAAGCCACGTATTTACCTTCGAGTCCTCATAACGTATACATTTGACCTTCTTTTATTCGCGACCCCGAACGGTAAAATCACTCCCTTCAATTTCCCAACTTAGAAGTAGAGAAAGAAAACTCTCCTCCGGGGAGGCGCGGATCCCATACTTTCCATTCCAAAACTCCTTTCCCTCACTTTTTTTTTTCTTGGTTCTTTCTTTCTCTGTAAAACAGATGCAACAGTAATCTCATCCCGCGAGCGTTCACGATTCCTAACGTACACCCCTCTGCGTGGTCGCCTTAGATCCCATTCTTGCCGTTACCCTTTTTATTCAAATCCCAATCTTTTTCATGTTTGCCTTATTTGTACAGTTCTTTATATCTGCATTTGAAAAATAGCGATCTTAGCTAACGATGGAGATTTCTTATTGGGTCTCTGTTGTTTCGATTGTTCTCCTCTTTTTGGTATCTGGGTCCTTCTCAATTGACAATTTTCACCAAGCGTAAGTTTTTGTTTTTGTTTATTTGCTTATATTTAAACTTTGATGCGTTGTCGAATTGATTTATTGCTATTGGAGTAGTTAAGATTTGATTAGGATATGATTTGTCAATTGTTAGCTTTAACATGAGATAGCTTTTTGCATGGTTTTAAGATCTAGCTGGCACATTGTTGGTTTATTGGTGGTTATTACCTCCAATTTTTTTTTCTTGGATATGTTCCTGATTTGGTCTTATACAATTGAGCTTTAACAGGGGCTCTCAATAATTTTACTAATTTAATATACATGTCAAAATTTAATTGCAAATAATGTTATGAGGGGCAATTTTGAGGCAAGTTTGTTGACCTCTCTGATTCTGCTAAGTTCATTGACTCAGTGTGATGACCATTTGGCTTATTCATAACGTAGGTCAGCAGTTTCCTGATATCATATGGGATCTTAGGTATTGACAATTTAAGTTAAACGTAAAAAAAAATCTTGAAAAGAAAAAAGGGCCACAGCCTGATTCAAATTTAATATGCAATTGCATATTTAGAATAGATCATGGTAGTTATCTTCTCTTAGCATTGAGATTCAGGAAGTCTGGTTACAGTTAAAATGGTTCCTGCTCGGCAGTGATGATTTTGAGAGGCCAGTTATTTTGGTTGAACTAATGCATAATTTGCTTGCTCTGTAGAGGTTTGGCAGTTCCTTAGTTGTCTTTAGATCACTTATTGCTGGTGGGTTCTTATTTATGATTAGTTTTGATGGTGATTTCCATTAGGCTTTGTTGGAAGTTGAAACATTATGTTGAATCTTGGTTTATGTGAACACTCCAAAATTTCTTTTAATGTTTCTCTGCTATGTACTGGAAGCATAAAAAGGAATTATCTATGAAGTCCCAAATTTTCTTTTGGAGAGCAAAGAAGCTTTTATAGATTATAGGTTTTGTGCCTTAGTAGTGCAACTAAACAAGTGAAGCTATAGGATGCAATCCATATAAGCATGATTGGTTTGCATCTTATCTAGATTATGTTTTTTGTTGCTTTAATATAGGGGAGTGTTTTTAATCCATTCTGCAGAATGACAAATAAATCATTAGATGCGTGGGTCTCCAGCTCTTTCAGTGAAAATTATGCTTATGCAAAGACGTGGCATTTTTCCAATAAAATTTTCCATGCACTTGAAGGAAATTTTTTAGGCATGTGGTCCAGAATATTAGCTATAAGATATGGCTTTCTATAGGAAAATTCCTTTTTCAATTGTAAAATGTACATGTAAATGCCTTAAGTGTGACAGTCGATGCCTTTTTGGAACCTGATTTGGTTTTAGCACTGTCCTGGTAGTTGTGCCTTTGCAATAACTTCACACATTCTCAATAGGTCGCAGTGATCTTTTACTTTATCTGATGCTGGTCTCTTTTATTTTTCCTTTATTTTACTTAAATTTATGCATATAGGTTTCCTATCGTGGAGCCTGATCCTGGTCATACAAAGCTTCGCCTTTCGAGGGAAGGCTTGGAAGCCATCAGCAGAATAACTACCCCAATTGCAGCTGTTGCTGTAAGTTTCAAGACATCTAGTATGTATTTTCAGTTTATTGATTTTATTCTGGTGACGTGACTCAAAATATCAATTGGACTCAAAATATGAATTTCTAAATCCAATGGCTTTAGCTGGGGTACCTACGCCACGTTTCCATACCAACTCAACAAAGAAATAAGAAAGAGGAAGTTTCAGATACCCTTCCCAAACATCAAGTATTTATTTGAAATTCATTACTTTTATTCTGGTGACCTGACTCTAAATATGAATTAGTCTCAAAATGTAAAGTGCTAAAGTAGGTAACCCCCTTTTCCAACCCAAGAAAGAAAGAAAAAATTTGCCCATGTTATGTAAATATTGATATGACTGTTGGAATCTCTATGGGTGGTGAATTTGGGAAAATCAATGCACTAAATCATCAGTTTGATGATTTATGGTTCTCAGTGGAAAGTTTTGTTACATATAAGATACAAATCATGCAATATTTACCTATTTCTTTAATGATTTCAAACACGTTATTCTGGGTGAAATACTGGTTGACAATATTGGTTTTTTCCTGTAACATAACTTATCAAATTTGAAGTTGAACCTAATTTGTCTCTTGAGAATAATCCCTTTGGTCTTTGTTCTCCCACATTTATGCAGTCTTTTTTGGATTTGTATATCCAGGTCATTGGCCCCTACCGCTCTGGCAAATCTTTTCTGTTAAATCAACTTCTTTCGCTGTCGTGTTATGAAGGTGTATTCTTCACTGCTATATGCTCCTTTGTTGTTTTGTAGACCTTGTTGTCTCTTTCAACATTTTTGACATTTTAAATGGGATCAATTTAGTGACTTGTTGTTTATGCTTTTTCCCCTTTGCCCCTCAGGATTTGGTGTTGGACACATGCGTGACACAAAAACAAAGGGTAAGACAGCAATTATATTACAATTATGCACAACTTTTACATAGGTGATAGTTACACTTTGTCTATTCCAGGGATTTGGGTTTGGGGAACCCCGCTAGAATTGGATATTGATGGAGTAAGAACTTCTGTTTTCTACCTTGATACTGAGGGTTTTGAAAGCATTGGGAAGTCAAATGTATATGATGATAGGTAATCCCATTACGTGTTCTTCAACTTGCTTTATATAGTATATATTTAGTTATATTGCCTTTCTGATGTCTGTTCATGCAGGATTTTTGCTTTGGCAACTGTAATGAGCTCTGTACTAATTTATAACCTGCCTGAGACGGTTAGTTTTTTTTTTTCTATAATTTTTCCTTGTTTTAAGATTCTCTTTTTGAAATATTGACATGGGAAGCTGAAAAGGCTAGTGTTTTTAACCCCTATAGTTCAAGCTAATCCGTGAAGCTAAATGTTTCTTCAGATATAAAATTAGGACAACAGAATTATGCATTAAATTATTGATTTGAAAAAAATTTGAGTAAAAAATTTGCTAAACTTTAGGGCACTATATATGAAGGTTAGTTTTGCTAAATGTTAAATACTACTTAGGTGTGAGATTCTCGTGGTTAAGATGAGTTTTATTCTTAAAACAAAAATGATTTTTGGGTTTTGATAAATTGAAAATTGGTTTATCTGCATGAATATTCTTTTAAATAGAAAAAATGTCTTCTGATATAAGAAAGTCTTACAGGCTGCCTCTTTCTCTTACTTGATTAAAATTAAAGTGCTATTCAGGTGTTTTGGAAGGGCTTCTCTTATTTTACATTTATAAAAGCGGTGCTGTGAATTTTAGGATTTTAGTTCTTAATTTAGCATCACAATCTATGTATCAGGTCGTGAATTTGTGGGTCAAAAGTCTTGAAGCCTAGACTTAGCTGCTGCCTTTGATGGGTTGATTTTTTTATTGATACACTTGTTTCTGCTATTCTGTCATTAGATCCGTGAAGCTGACATATCTCGGCTGTCATTTGCTGTTGAGCTCGCTGAAGAATTTTATGGAAGGTTTGCACCTCTGCCATATACTGGAGTGAAAGTATTATCAGTTTGTTACATACACTAAGCAAGCTTGGTGGTGTTTTACTTTTTAATGCTTGTTCATATAGACACTAACTTGTTTTGTGGTTTGTTTGACAAATATTTCATGGAGAACAGAGTGAAGGTAATTTATGACCCCTAAAGCGTTTGTTGTCTTTATGCTTGTGCAATTAAGTTGTTTTGCTGTGGAGATTCACAAGTAGCTGAATTTCTTGTAGGGGCAAGATGTTGCGTTTGAACCTGCAAAACTTTTGTGGCTTATCCAGCGTGATTTTCTGCGTAAGTTCATAATTTCCTTCCACTGTATGATACGAAGTTTCATAAGCCCTGATACTTTAAAGTTCAATGTGCCTTGGACATGCCAGCTTATATAGTACTGTCTTTAATATTTTATCTGTGATAGAGTTATTGCTTTCTAGCTTCTAATCTACGTCAAATTCTTATTTATTTTATGTGCTTGTATTTTGTCTGGTTAAACTTTTCTTTGGATTCATTCACTATACTCTTAAGCTTCTTTTAAAATGCTGTGGAAGTGATGGTGCTAAGTTTCTTATTTGGGAGACATTCCTTCCTCGGTGCATTTCTTTTCTATTTTTCTGCAATTTAGATGGAATTTTTTTTATTGTTAAGGAGAGGGGATTTGAACTCAATACTTTCTTTTTGGAAGTAGAGTGTGTGGCTGCCATTGGACTTTTGCCTCTGCTCCACAATTCAGGGGCAATTCACTTACGTTTTTCTTGGTTTTATACAGAAGGGAAATCAGTGAAAGAAATGGTGGACGATGCACTTAGACATGTCCCTAACACTAATGGTTAGTTTACTTGGTCATGCTTAATTGTTGGATAGATGTTTATTTGCGTTAATCTAGCCTTTATTTTTGGGATGATCTTATGATGTTGTGTGTCTGTTGTATCTTCAGGGGACAAAAATATTGATCAGGTACTCCTTCATGACCATACTTGTAGGCAATCCCTAGAGTAATGCTATTCTTGGATCAGAATTTTACAGTTTTTGGAACTTTATCAGGTTAACCAGATCCGGGATTCCTTAGCTGTAATGGGTGATAACAGCACAGCATTTAGCCTACCACAGGTATGTGTTTCAAATATGTTTGTTTATTACTGATATATTAGCTTGTCTCTTTCCCCTTTCACCCCTTTCCTTTTGCTGTTGTCGTTCTGAACAGAAACATAAATGGAATTTTGATGTGTATATGTAATCTTTTGTGAACACGAATTGAGCATGAGACTTTTGATACCATGTATCTGGGTAGACGTTTTACGAGTCATGGTTATGGTTAATATTTGTATTTGGTTTTATTTGGTGGTAGAGAAGGCAAAGAGGTATTTGTGCATGCTTACAGTGAGAGTTGGGATGATGGAATGCATTTATGCTTTTGCTTATTTGTTGATTTGCTGTAGATATATGTTATTTTTTTGCAAATAAAGTTATTGTTAATATCAAAATCTTTAGTATCTAATTGCTTGAAACTTACAGCCTCATCTCATGCGAACAAAGCTTTGTGACCTGAAGGATGATGACCTTGATCCCATATATGTTAAAAAAAGAGAGCAGTTGAAAGAGCTTGTAGCTAGTGTTATACGCCCAAAGATTGTGCAGGGAAAGCCTTTAAATGGAAAGGAGTTTGTTTCATTCCTGGAGCAGGTTAGTTTATGATCACATTCTTAGACCTTCCACTGTTGGATTAAGTCGGAGTTGTTGTGAGAATTCTTAAACTAGTCATTGTTAGGGATGGTGATTGATTGATGACATGTCCAAAACTTACCGTTATTAATATGCATTTTTATTTTTAATCTTATAGATACTTGAAGCTTTGAATAAGGGGGAGATCCCATCAACAGGCTCTCTTGTAGAGGTTTTCAATAAAGGTATTCTTGAGCGATGTTTGAAGCTGTACAGTGAAAGGATGGGAAAATTAGGTTTACCTATGCCAGAGCAATCCTTACGTGATGCCCATGAAAGGTCCCGAGAGGAAGCAATGAAGGCTTTTGATGAACAACATTTTGGCCGTCACCATGCAAAGAGATCTGCGGAGCAACTGGATGAAGAAGTGAAGGAGGTATTGACTAGCACTTTAAGGGGCATTACCCTTTTCCTTTCTTTTTTTATCAATGGTAATTTATCAATTCATACGTTTAAATTTTTCACCTGAGGCATTCGAATTCTTGGTTTTTTATCAATGTTTCAAATTCTTGTTTAGTAGTGGGAAAAGGTGATTTTGAAAGTCAGTAATAAGTGGGAAATTTAAATAGACAACCATATGAGAAGTTTCTCTAGAAGATATCACATTTTATCTTATGTTAAATGTTAAATTTCTTGAGTTTTTCGAATTTCCTATTTTGTTGGTAAATCCAGATAGGGCTTAATCTGATTTCAGCTATTTGATTAATTGCTACTGCAAACAAGAAGAAAATTTATACACAGTCATTTTTGTGGATAACTGTTTGTCATGCTAGGCATTTCTTATATCATATATATAGATATATATATATATATAATATATAAATCCTACTCTTATATATGTTTTGTATGTATTCTGACCTAGTAGACGAGAAGCCTTTGTAATTCTCATGTCCTTAATGCTGAAAATTTTGTTTAGGTATATAAGAATGTCATTATGGCGAATGAATACCAGTCCTCAAAGCTCTGTGAGGCACTATATACCCAATGTGAGGACAGAATGGACCAGCTTCAAGTTCTCAGACTTCCTTCTATGGCAAAATTTAATGCAGGTTTCCTGCAATGTAACCAAAGCTTTGAACGGGGGTGCATTGGGCCTTCAAAAGCAAACTACGAGCAACGGATGACGAAGGTAATCAGGAGTCTTTGCAGTTCTATTTTCAGTTTCCTTTTTCTATGAAAGGTTGTTTTCCTTCTGTGGCAATATTTAGCAGGAAAGATGGAGTTCCATTCAGTTTTACCGATTAAGAGTGTTAGAGAGCATTTCAAAATGAATCTGAGTTTAATGCTTGAATTAATGAAGTTAAGTTCTTTGTCCTTGTAGAATAATTACTTTCAGGCTTTGAAGGTGGAGCTGAAACCTAAATAATTTCAATTTAACTTAACACCATGGTTTTGAAGGAATTGTGGGTGAGAAGGGGGCCAGATCATTTTTACTTGCCTATTAAATGTAAAAGATGTATTTATGTTGCTTTATAGTCAACATTGTAACAATTTGTGTCAACTTATGTATTTGTTAAATAATATGTGCTTGAATTTACCATATATTGCAGATGATGGGAAAATCACGTTCTCTGTTTATCAAGGAATACAATCAAAGGCTCTTCAATTGGTTGGTGGCCTTCTCCCTTGTCATGGTGGTGGTTGGTCGGTTTATCATAAAGTTCATTTTGATTGAAATGGGAGCATGGATACTATTTATCTTTTTAGAGACATATACGAGGATGTTCTGGTCAGCAGAGTCTCTTTACTACAATCCTGTGTGGCATTTTATTGTAGCCACTTGGGAAACTCTTGTCTACAGTCCCATTCTTGATTTGGACAGGTAATATAACACTTTTTGTTGCATCCTAAAACAAACTTGCTTGTTATTGTAACTACTTGGTCATGCATTCTTAGCAGAAGTGTCCCAAAATGACCAATTTTTGTTTCGAATCGTTCTCTTAAGTCACAGTGAATATAGATATTATTCCTTTTCTGTTTACCTTATGCGTTTATTTGTTTTGGCAGATGGGCCATTCCAGTTGGTTGTATACTAGCATTATGGATACTGTATTGGCGATGTTATGGGAGACAGAAACATGGGTCGCGATGGCTTTTACCTATGTACAATACTCGTAAAAGTGGCTCAAATAGACCAAGATCAGATTAATGGAGAATTGTCTGTGCCATTTGGTTTGGTATGCTTTTGATTAATCATCTTGGGCGAGCTTTTCCATTTTTTAACATATGAAAGCCCGCCAATCAATTTTTTGTTCTCAATAGGTCTCCTTCAATCTTGAGATTCGTCGAAGACATCAGAAGATGATCAGCCAGCCACACTTACGATATCTTTTAGTGCACCATTTGTACACAAATCATTTGTATTAATCAATACAATTATTTACGATATATAATCTGTTGATTTGTTTCAAATGCCAATTATTTAATGGCTTTAGCTTTCCTCTTCTATTTGAACAGATGACTAGATACCTTGTCATTTATTTGCTTTAGCCTTAAGCATCACCATCATTTAAATGGCCCACCGATCAGAAGGTGAAACAAAAGATGAAAAATTAAAAAGTTGTGTGTAAAAACTTCAGTTCCGTAGCTAATAAGGCATGATAACCTCTAACAGCAAACTCTGATCCGAATTCTCTTCAGTCTATGAAGCTCAGGGTTTTTTTTTTTTTTTTTTTCCAAAGGAGGCTAAGTAGAATTAAGAAAGAGAAATTTGTAAATATCGGAAATTGAATCTTAACCTTACCAAAATTCACCTTGCAAGTAAATCAACTGAGTAACCCAAGTGGGTTAAACCCGAGTGAACAATGGGACTAGATTCCTCTTATTCCTTATTAACCACATGACAAATCACTCTTAATCTTGCAAGTGAAATATTTTCTCTGAATCCATCGAATTAGCATTATCATTAAATTTGGAGGTATGCCATCCTTTTGGCATTTCATTCTTATAATTCCGTTTTGTCGTTTACCCCTTTTCAGTAAAGGATAGCTTTCATTTAATATAATTTCCATTTGTTTTGACTGTCCAAATCCAAATACATATACACAGGGTCTATTTTTGGTCAGTTATTCTACCAGGGATTCAAAATCATGGGATCAGTTTTCAAGAAATCTGCACTGATAATCTGTGGTGACTACATGGAAGATTTCGAAGTGATGGTTCCTTTTCATGTGCTGCAAGCCTTTGGAGTTCGTGTTGATTGTGTCTCTCCCACCAAGCTACCTGGTGACAAATGCATCACTGCCATCCATGATTTCTTGGGATTTGAGGTAAAATGCTTCGCTATTTGATTAACTCACACCATACACAAGGAAGCCATTTTGTTCCCTCAGTTTTGAAATTTGAATGGTTAATTTTACTTTTCTTTCTTCCCCAGCTTTACACAGAACTGCCAGGCCATTCCTTTACTCTGAATTCAAACTTCGATGAAGTGGACGTCGAATGCTATGACGCCCTGATTATTCCAGGAGGCCGGTTCACGGAGCTCCTCAGTGTTGACGACAAGGTCTTGAGTATAGTTAAAGGGTTTGCTGAAGCAGGAAAGCCTATTGCCACAAGTTGTCATAGCCAACTCCTTCTGGCCGCGGCTGGGCTTTTGAAAGGCAAGAAATGCACTGCATTTGCAAGCATGAAACCTGTGATTGAGATGGCTGGTGGCGTTTGGTGGGAACAACCTGGAATTACATCAGTTTTTGACATTAATGCTTGTCTTAAAGATGGAAATATCTTAAGTTCAATAGGATGGCCGGCGCATGCTGAATACCTAAAAGTTCTGTTTGAATCCATGGGAGCCAAAATTCATACAACTAAGACGAATAATTCAGTGCTTTTCCTATGTGGGGTAAGACTGCCTTAGATTGAAGGCCAAAATATTAGGTTCTATAACAAATATTTGTGAAATTCTTTGATTAAATTATTAACTAAAAACTGCAATTATGGTGAAGTCCCCTTTCCAACTTGGTTCTTTTTCACAAGGATGTAGGAAAATAACCTTCTTTTTTTTGGTGTTTCCAAGGACTATGTAGAAGATTATGAAATCAATATCCCATTCCGGGCACTACAAGCATTAGGCTGCAAGGTTGATGCAGCCACCCCAAGCAAGAAAAAGGGAGAAACCTGTGTCACAGCTATCTACGATAATGAGGGAGCCCAAGTTGTTAGCGAGAAGCGTGGTCATAACTTCTATATTACAGCCAATTGGGGTGATATTAATGTTGATGATTATGACTGCGTTATCGTACCGGGTGGGAGGTCTCCGGAGTTGCTGGTGATGAACGAGAAAGCAGTCACTCTAGTGAAGGAATTCGCTGAAAAAAACAGGGTCATTGCTGGTATCGGGCAAGGGAAATGGCTTCTAGCTGCTGCTGGTATTCTAAAGGTGACTATTACTATTTTTTTATTACGTCGATGAATATCATGAAATTGCTATAAATTAGAAATTGTTGAAACCAATCAAAGTAATTTAACTATATTATTATATATGCGTTTTAAATATTAATCATCTTCAGGGGAAGAGATGTGCAACCGGCCCAGGGATGAAGGTTATGGTGAAGATGGCTGGAGGGGAATTGGAAGAATCTGAAGGGTCTGCCTCTGATGGGATGTTGGTGACTGCAGCTGGATGGCCTGCCCTGCCTGCCTTCCTATCTGAATTGTCGAAACTTCTTGGTTTGTCTTTGAATTTTGAATGAGACAAGTTAATTTGGCTCTCTTGTCTAAAAGAACTGAGAATAAAAAAAATGTATGAACTATGCATGAATCACCTGATGAGAATCCAGGGTGAAAAGTTTGGTGTATCATCTTGAGTATTTTAAAATCGGGTTTTATGCGAGTGACTTAAAGATCACTCTTTTAAAGTTTATTAAATTTCTATTTATAAGAATATTTTTATATTAAATATAGTAAATTACGGTTTTGATGAATTTCAATGTGTTATAGTTAAAAAGACATCATATATAATATATATTTTATTTATTATTATGATATTAGGTATAAGGATAGGGTCCCATAAGACGTGCTTCCGTGAATGACTAAACGAAAAATGTGATATTTTTAAAATTTTTCATTCATCCTTCCTCTTACGATAAATATAGAACAATGTTAATTATGCTTAAAATTTCTCCAATAAATAATTATTAAGAAAAAAAAAGGGTGGAAAAAGATGCTTTTTACATATGATACATTGAATTATAACTTGGGGATGAATCAAGAATAAAAGACAAAGCCTTCATAATCAAGAATAACTAATTTCAAATAAAAAAGCATGCTAAATTTGAAAACATTAGTTTTTTGGCCAAAATTTAAAAAACACATTTAAATTATTGATTTTTATTATAGATATTTAAAAACAAGAAAAAAAAGCAGTAGTGCTAGAGTAAATTAAGTGAATGGAAATCAATTCATATGATTGCCCATTTTGTTTATTTTTAGGTGAGAATTAAATGATAGATTCATGTTTAATGTTTTTCAACCCTCCTAAGCTAAAACCAACTCATATGGCTGCCCAACCCAATTAATCTCAACTCCTGATCATACATACGCTCAGAAATTTAATCAAGAACTAGACCAACAATAATTTGCGATAAATATCTTCTAAAAAACAATAATAAATGCTATTTTATCTAAATCTGTTTAAGGATCGAGCTTAGTTCGATGATTTGCTCGAGTTTTAAAAAAGATTGGATAAAAAGTAAAATTCGTTAAATAGATTTGGATACATTTTTAAATTTGTTTAAATTTTAGGTCGAATCTTAAATAAAAAATTTAAAATCCGAACTCGATCAAATCTAACCTAAATTCATATATATATAATTTTATTTTTATATATATGTGAATTATATAAAAATTAATTCACATATATAAAAATTAAAAATAAAATATATATTTTATTAAACTTTGTAATAACGTATAGCTTAAGGAATCACCATCAATCTTTTTATTTAGGTGCGATTGACTATTTAACTGAATTTTTCCATTTTTAAAGAGAAATCATAAGCTTAACTTATGTATCGTTAAAAGATAAATTCTAATCCACGAAATCAGATCTAAATTTAGGAGTACGGTTACGTGTAAGAAATGTTATATCATCCTCACAACGCGCATCGAATAAGGGTATCAATTTGATTTCATATTATCCAAACTATAAAATATTTTTAAATTTTTACCAAGTAAATTTAATTATTGAAAATATTAAAATTACTCCAATCATTTGGTAGTGATTTAAAATAATTTTCTTACTTTAGGAGTATTCATGGAGACTCGTGTCTCATTCTGAAAAGACTTTATTCGTCGAATTCGTTAACATATTTTCTAAGAAAACATTTTTTTGAAATCAATCAATAAAATTCTTTAATCATTTAGTAAGATTTTATATTAATACATATCTCTCAATCATTTAGTGAGATTTTTTGTTTAAAAACTTCTTTAAAAATAAAGGTCATTAAATCCTTCAATAGTTTAGCAATATTTAATAGAAATTTCAATCCTCCAATTGTTTGGTAGGATTGAAAAAATTATTTTTTAAAAAATTTATTAAGTACTCTAATCATTTGGTAAAACTTAATTTAAAATTTTTAAACCCATGAAAATCCTTCAATAGTTTGGTAAGAATCATAAATTTATTATAAAAATTTATTTTAAATATGCATAAAAGAAAAAAAGAAACAACTAAGTAACATAAATATATATACAAATAATGAAAAAAAAATAAAAATTACCAAATAAATTGGGCTATAATTGATTTCAAAGTACATGGGCCTTTGTAATTGCACTTGCCCATTTCAATTTACTGGTTGTTGGAACCAGTTATGATTTGAGCTTCTTATTGGATTGGATCTTTAAAATGGGTCAATCGCTTTTTACTTTTCCTGCTTCTTCACCCCTTATCTTTTTTCTTGTTTCTCCGAAACTCTCAAAAGTTTTGCCATCAAAATTTTTTATTAAATGCCTCCCTTTTGTGTTTCTTCTCAACTTTTTCTTTTCAAACACAAAACTTCCAAAAGAAAATCTTAATTATCTAAACCCAAAAAACCAAAAAATACCATAAAAATGTTATTAATTATTTTGTCTTTTTTTTTTACTATTTCTCTCTTGATTTTTTTTATTGATTCTTCATTGTCTCTAATTAATTCTAATGGGGTATTTTTATAGGCTTTTAATCCAAATAACAATAAAGGAAGATTTTCTTAGTTTCAATCTCCTAATTAAAGTTAATTTTAGATTTTTAATTCAAGTCCACCTCTTAAATCAATACATTCCCTTTTTTCAATTAGAACATTATATTTCAAACCGAATCAAACTTTTTCCTTAAAAAAAAAAACCTTAAATCAATTAATTAACAAAATAAATAATCCTAAACTAAACAAAACTAAAATCCTAAAATTAAATTGAAAAATATCTTGAACTGAAAGAGTTGTTTATAGTTGCCTTTTTTTACGTATTTTCTGTGAAATAAAAATTATGCAAAGATAAAAACATCTATTTTGTTTAGCCTAAAAAAATCAAAAAAATAAAATTATAAAAGTTCTTCTTCAACAGAAGCTTTACAACTTCAAAATATAAAATGCTCTTCTTATTAGAGGCTCAACAATTTTGAAAAATATAAAAATTTAAAACATTCTACCCGAATGACTTACGAATCTTGCTCGGAAGACTTAAGATTACGCTCGGAGGTCTCACAAATCTTAATACGAAAATAAATTCAGCTTAAAAAACTTACGAATTTTGCTTGAAGGACTTAGAGACTATTCCTGGAGGTCTTACAAATCTTGACATTTAAATACTTCTCTAAATAGAGGTTTCACAACTTTGAAAATGTAAAAAAAAATTTTATCTGAAGGAGATTGAAGGTTCATTCAAATATTCAAATTGAAGATTCAGGATTCTTACCAAAAGATTCTTGAGATTTGTATAAGTCTTCAAGATTCTCATCAAGGATCAAAGATTCACATTTAAAAATCTTAGAGATATACATCCAAGATTCAAATATTCTCATTTGAAAAATTCAAATATAAAATTTAATGTCTCAAAGATTCGCATATGAGATTCTTATCTTGTAGTTAAAAAACTCCTCTAAACAAATACTATGAATCTTTAAAACTGGAAGAATTTTTTAATTAAGATTTACCAACTCTTCTTGAAATCATTATCTTCATCCAAAGGTTTCAAACTTAGTATTCACAATATTTTCTCTATATGAGGATCAAAATCTTATCAAAAAGTCTTATTTTTTCAAAATTCAGTTTTTATGATATTATGCTTAAAGGTTTTAAAGATTATACCCAGATGTCTTATAAATTATACCTGGAGGCTTATAAATTATGTTTGGAAGCTTTAAAAATTATGTCTGGAGGTCTTACAAATTATGCCCGGAGATCTTACAAATCATGCTCGAAAGTCTTGAAAATTATATCCGAAAACCATACAAATTATGCTCGAAAGTCTTGAAACTTATGCCTGGAGACCTTACAAATTATATCTGGAGGTTTTACAAATCATTTCTTATCTTTGAAAAATCTTTTCCTTAATAAAGGTTTTGAAACTTTTATAAAAATCATTTCTTTTGAAATAAAAACATCTCATCTTGGAAAAGGTCTCACTCTCTAATCAAGGCTAAACACTTTTACAAATCTCATTTTGAAAATTTTCTTAGCCTAAAACTTATCACTTTTGTTATAAATTTTTTTTTCAACCAAAAATTGAAATCTCATACTCAACAAATTTTCCTCAATCGAGGGTCAAAATCTCATATTTCCAAATTCTTAACCTTTCAAAATCAAAATCCAAAGTCAACTGAATATGTAATGAATGGGATGAATGTTATGCATGTAATGCAAAAATAAATGTCATGAATCTTTAATTATGGTAAATAGGTCCTTAAGCCCTTTTTTATTTTTTTTTCATAGAGCTTTAGCACTAGCTAACAAGCTAGTTTTCAATAATAATCCTCAATTCCTTTTTTTTGACTGTGACCATTCCATTTTTCAAACCATTTATCTTATCTATGAATCTTTTTCAAACCTTTTACCTTGACCAGTCTCTTTGTTCCAAAAAGACATTCTTACCATAATGATAAAAAATACCTATCTCTTATCCACACCAATTTATGTCAATTCAAATATAAATGTCTTCACAACAAATACCCTAATGTTCATGACAACTAAAGAAATTGCTCATATAACTATTCTATGATCCAAAAAATGCATATTCTTTTAAAAATATGTAATTGAATCTCTTAGAAATTGATGATTATTGCATAGAATGATGAAAGTGAATCTTAACTTAGTTTATTTAAAGGAATGAAATGGTTCGATACACCAAGATTTTAAAGGAGATTTTGCCACTGGACAAGAAAAAGTAAAATAGTATGTCTTCATTTAGGCTTGCCAATGAAAAATCATCTTTTAAAGCACAATCTACTTTTGTACTCTCTTAATTTCTTCATTTGGTAATTTAACAAATGTAAAGACTAGTTGTGATAAGCTCAAAATTTTTAGAAAAGAAAGAAATGTTAAAATTTCAAAACAAATTTCATATTAGAGTTCATCTTTTTGAATTTTTTAAAGATTTTCATTTAGTTCCTTCCTCTAATGATATTGCTTAAGTTGATTTCAATCTACTCTAAACTACCTTTCGGTTTTCACCTTAAGCTCTATTCAATCTTCTTTTCTTTTCTTTCTCTCTTTTTTTTTGTTATGCCATCATATATTTGAAAATTCAAAATTCATCCAAAATAAAAAAATTATAGTGATTTTTTAAAAAAAAATCTTTTCAATTTAAATATTCACACTTGATCAAAATGGGTATTTCAAAAGACATAACATATGGCAGGGTTTGGTATTTTAAAATAAAGGATAAATATACCCAGAAATATGTTTAAGGGTAATCAAACCAAAGATCATTTCT